GGAGAGAAAGCACATGTCCCGGGCCTAGTGGACCCGGTTAATTTTTGTTTTTGGCCTCTACGACCTTCTATGGGGGCAAAAGCCCCCCCTGCGCCCAAAAAAATTGAAACACCCGCCCCTTCTTCAGTGCGCTGGGGTTGCCCGGTGGCCAACCGGGTGGGACAACCGGCCAGGCGGCCCGCCCCCCCCCCCCCGGGCGACCAGTCTAGTTGAAGTTTGAAATTTGTCTCATGTTCTAATGACATGCTGACGTGTGAAGTTTCTCCTATTATCACTATGTACATTTACACACTCCTGTCTATTCCAGTCAGCATCAGCCCCGTTCCTTTTCCACCGGCAAGTGAAGAATCAAGATCCTTACATGAGATAAAACATAAAATCATTATGCTCACCATAGAACCAAGATTCTATCATTTTACAGATACAAGAATGGATGAAAAGGAGAAACTCAGAAAAGGGATGAATTGTAAAGAAAGAATAAGATAGATGCAATTCCCCTTTTTGTGCTTGGTGCGCCTCCCTGCATCCTGAGAGCTGTGTGGTATGTGCATGGGAACGGAACGGATGGGACAATCCGTGGACAAAAACCGATGCTTTGTGTTCAGTTTCATTCACTGAGGGATCCTGTGTAATGCCAGCACATAAGGCAGATGCGACGGCTTAGGAGTAGCTGGAAAACTTGGCCTCAATCGTAAAGGGAGCGGATGACAGAAAAGCCCAAACCCTTGTCCCAAGTTTGTCCCAACCTTGTCCCATCCTCGCCCCAACCTTGTCCCAACCTTATTCCAATCTTATCCTAATCTTCGCCTGCCTGAACCAATAAGGGAAAAATAGCTTGGTCACATCACCTGGACGACTGCGTACAAGATTGCCCACCTGCAATCTGCTCCGAGCACTGGGGTCCTTACCGTCGCGTTGCAATTAGGAAAGAAAAAAAAAACAAAAGTGCAGCAATCAACAGGTCATCATGCGGTTTTCCAGTGAGCTTGTGGATTTTGTAGGGTTCAAAGTTTGAACCACTGGTACATCCGAGCCTCTTTTTCCTGACGCAGATTTTTGTCGTGCGCCAATTCCAGTCGATCTGGCGCAGCGCATGATTTGGCTGGTGCCGCCAGCCTTGTCCGTCCGGCAAGCCCAACCTACGATTTTGCAGAGTGGTAACCACCGCGTTTTGGAATTTGGAACAAAAAAAAAATAGCGGGGAAACGCACTGGTGGTTTGACGTTCCGTCGTGCTGCCTGTTCTCTGCATGTGCAGTCCGTAGGGGCGGAATAATGGAAAATACTCGAGAATTTCTGGACATCTTTAAATAGGTTTAGCGATTGGTGCTTTAGCCAACCGCCAGTGGTGGATGTCTTTTTTGTTGCCTTGCACTCTATTTCTTAATTTAACAACTTATCAGTGAAAAAAAAAGAGACTGTAGGGTAGTTAAATAGGTAAGATTAAGTGGGGAAAACAAAAGGAAAGCTCCAAGTGGGCCATTTTTGGTAAGCAGAACTGGAAAAAGAAAATAAGAGGTTGTAGGGCCAACAGTCAACACATCAATTTATCTACGGCGCTGGGTCTCCGAAATTTTCATAGGCCGCGAGTTTTCTTTTCAGCCCGGGGCTACAGGACCACAATGGCTGGCGGCGCCATCCAAAAAAGAAAAAAAGTTGCACCGCTGGCGGTTCGGAAAAGCTTGGCGCGCAGTGCACCGCCTCCAGGCCCGGGTGTATTGGTGGTACCAGTACATCCTTGCCTCTACTCAACAAGGCAGGTTCCTGCTGTGCGCCAAGCGTTGCAGACAGAGCAGCACGGCACTTTTGTTTTAGTTTTGGATGGTGCCGCCAGCCAGTTTGATCCGGTTGCCCCAAGCCTTCGATTTTTTCGGAGAGGCTCAAGCATGATTCTGAAGTTGGCTGCGGCCATGCGCTGGTGGTTTTACATATGACCCCACTCCTACCTAGCCTCCTTGCTTACGATTCAACTCCTACCATCTCCCTCATGGTCACAACAGAGTCAGTCATGGACAACACTGCCGTCTTCACCCAAATAGAACGGCCAGTCATTATAGCCGGATTTGGAGCACTTTGCAGTCCAGATACAGGAATAATGACCGGCCGTTCTATTCGGGTGAAGACGGTAGCTGCCATTACCTCTAGAAATGCATGCTTAATTGTTTACCCTCCACCATCTTACCCATCGTGCATGTTGAGCACACAGAAAGAAGGTCCAAAATACTCAGGAAGACAGCGGACACACCTTCTTCTACGCCAAACATAGGTCCTGCTGCATTTAGGTCATATCCATGGTTACTCCTTGCCGTCTATACCAGGCTGGTCGGTAATGGGGCATCGTGGTGCCCTGTAACCCTAGCATAGGGGGTTATGAGACCAGCCGCGTTTAGGTTCGAGGACTGATCACGGGGACTTTGTTGTTTTCCAATTGTTGCGTGGGAAGTTTGCTAGTCGGTGGTTTCGGTTCGGATTTTTTGCTTTCAATTTGTTGTATGTCACTCATGTCTTATCTCGTTAAAAAAAAAAAAAAAAACGGGCGATGTGTTCGGATATGGCTATCCTCTAGAGGTTGTGATTGTTCTCGGTGGTTGTGGTAGAACGCTTTTAGGCTCTTGGGACCCCTTGCAATTTTCTTGAGGCGATTTTTGATGTTGTTTTATTCATGGACCTGTGGTTGTTCGATGCCAGAACGACGCTGGCCGGTGCTGGGGGGTTGACCCTGTAACTTATTAGCAGCAGGAGCTTGAGGCCTGGTAGAGAGATCTGGGAATGCCTAGGGGGGGCATTTCACCGGACAATCGAAGACGATGCTGAACGGAACCGGGGTGAGTTGCCTTGCCTTGTAACCTATAGCGGGGGTGAGAGGCTTGGTAGAGCTTGGTAGGAAATAAGACAGTGTCTGAGGACTTTGAGGGTGTTAGGACCCTGTGGCGCTTTAGAGTGTTTGAAGACAACTGCTGGGATTTTCGCTGGTGGATAGTCTCCCAAATGTACCTCAAATAGCATTGATTTTTGTTAAAAAAAAAAGAGAGAAGGTTTTAGGATTCTGGGGACTTCTAGCAACTCGCTTTAGGCTGTTTGATACTGATACGTTCATGGATCTGTGGTTGTTCGATGCCAGAACGACGCTGGCCGGTGCTGGGGTATTGCCCTGTAACCTGCTGATTGCAGGAGCGTGAGGCCTGGTAGAGAGATCTGGGGATGCTTTGGGGTGGGCATTCCAAGGGACAACCAAGGGTAGCTGTTGGGACGACGCTGGCCGGAGCTGGGGCGAGTCGTGTTGCTCTGTAACCTAGCCAGGTGGGGGTGTGAGGCCTGGGAGAGCTCGACAGGGAATAAGACAGTGTTGGACAGTTTTAGAGAGTTTTGTTTAGGAGTCTAGGGGTTCTGAGCATTCGAAAAGAGGTGAGTAGTCATTCATAGTTTTTTAACCTCTCCTTCAATTCTCTTGAATTTCTTCAATAGTTCTCAGATTGATTCTCAGCCGAAGCCGGGTAATGGCCCCGGCATCTCAAATGACTTGTGCAACTCTATATGGGACGCTGGGCCCGGTTCCCAGCACGTGCTGCTCCCCACGAATAGACTGGAGCATTTGTCCAAAAAAAAAGGTCATATCCATGGTTACGCTGGACTCTCTCTCTCTCTCTCTCTCTCTCTCTCTCTCTCTCTCTCAATCAGAATCGGTCACAGCCCGGCCCTCTTTGGCTTTCTGAAAGGGCCAGAAAATAGTTAAAAAATCCCGAATTTTTTTTTTGGGGGGGAGGGCCTTGAACAACCAAAAAAATATTAAAAAAATTCCGGACCCACCGGACCGAACATCCGCCCAGACATCTAGACGTGGACAATCCGGACTAGGCTCCGGACGCCCGGATAGTAACCATGACATATACTCACACAAGGATTTTTCAGGATGTATCTGACCGTTTTTAGGGTCGTGCCTGGATGCACCTGACTGCAATCATACGCCCACAGATAAGTTGAAGACGTCCTAGTGTGAATATCCCCTCTTCCGTTACCTCATGAATTTATATTAAATAGAGATCTTATGGACCAATTATATCCCACATAATCCCAGTTTTAAGGGTGGCTTGATACCTTTTTTTACTTTCAGAACATTTCTTGGAGCAAAAATTCACCACCTGGCACCTTCCCTGAGAAGTTGTGAGAACATTTCTTCAAGCTAAAAAAAAATTAAAAAATTGGAACCACGTCGTCTCCTCTCTCTCTGCCCCCGAGTTGGCAGCACACACTCTTAAACGACGCTAAATTCGTCAGTGTTTCTTAAACCATGAGTCCCGCTGACACAAAAGAAATCTGACTACCGACACACGCAGAAAGAAGAAATGTTTTGGGCCTATCGGTAGCACCAGAATGGAAGAGTTAAAAAGAAAGGATGCAAAACAATTCAAAATCAAAAGTTGCTGCGACAATTATTTTCGCCATCTTAAAATTTTGTTTAGAATTTTGTTTAGAATCTTTTGTTTTGCATGTATATTTTTGTCTGAAAGATCAGGACCAAACCTATGGGCTAAGGTAGGAGGGTAAAACTGCAACGCAAAAACCCGTGTGAAAGTACCCAGTGATGGTCCCCCAGAGTTTACGGGGGCCTACTGGGCGGAACCTACCAAGGCTGCAATTAAAGGTACAAAAAGAAAGTTGTTTGAGGGTGAGAAAAGCAGAACTTACCATCGGTGACAGTTTACCTGCTTTGCGATCATCCTCGATCTATCAGACAGAAACATCGGCGAAAGTGCACATGCCGCATCATACACATGCAAAGACAAACAGTTTACCGTCAGTTATGAACCGCACCCAGATCTTCACAGTGAGGGTGAGCACACACGTCTCCCTGCCCCGGCAAAGGGCAAGCGAGACAGCAAAGAGGAGGTGGTGGAAGGGGAGGTGGAAGGAGCGAAGAGACATGCAAAAGAGAAATAAGCATACAGAAATTTTTAACTTTTAAGCAGCTAGAAGGTTTTAAAATAATAACCTCCTTAGGACGGTGGGATACGTAGCCAAGAGAGGGGTAAGTTATTACGCATGGTCCTTAATTACGTCTTGAGGTCAACTTAGAAAGAAAGAAGAAGAAAAAAAAAAAAAAAAAAAAAAAAAAGGGGGGGATCTCAGATTGTGAAATGGAAGAGACAGCTAGGTTACAGATTAAAATTTAAAATACATGTTTTTAACTTTTTGCAGTTGTCTTTGTGAACGCAAAATACCACGGATGTGAGTGGTCCCCCCAATGGTCACCCATGTTTCATGTGTAGCTGATTACAACAGACAGACTCTATCACAAAGCCTGCAACCCGTGCGGACTCTGTGACGCATGCGAGCTCCAGTTATTGTCTCTCTGTAGTTGTGCCTCTGCCCTCCCTGCTTTCGTTGCCACTCTGTGATCTGTTTCGATCGTTTGCTAATGGAGTGGTAGCTGGGCCCAGCAAGGAAGAGATGGGAACGTACAGCGAGTGAGTGGCTGAGAAGTGAAAGCAAAGACACAGGAATGACAGCAGAAAGAATAGCACCTCAGATTATGAAAGAGAACGTCACACTGCAATTACACCCAATGTATAAAATGCTTGTTC